CATTATTACATCTTTCATTATTAGCTACGGCTATGCTTAAATTTAAAGATACAGCTTTCACCCTTATATTTCCATAACTTATCTGTATTCTCTTTGTTCATACAATTCCCTCGCTATCCCCAACACCATCATTCACAAGTGAATGACTTCGGGGGGGGAATAGTGTAAGGACAGGTCCGAGGTGTCAAATCTCGGACTGCTACAGTAATTTCTTTATGACCGAAGTGAGGAATGAATCTGAAGCTTCCCGCTCAAATAGCTGCATGATAATGACAGTAAGCATGTCCACACCTGATTCCTTATGATGAGCGACACAGTAGAAACGGTGGACACCCGTGCATCTGAATACCCCTCAAATTCCCGGTCCCGGAATAATCGTTTGGATAGACATGTCAGGCTCCGACTATCTTGCTTGGCATGCCACGTGGGTTCCTCATTGAATCCTATAAATACCCCCTCCGGGCCACGTCAAAAGGTAATTGAAACCAACCTTAAGCTTTTCTTATCTCCGCCCTAAAGGTAGCCCCGATTATTGCTGACTTAAGCATCGGAGTGTCTACCCCGAGTTCCACCTCGGGGCTTTGCAGGTCATCCCGAAGTGCAATTGCGGACTGAGAAGGACTTCTGGTTTGGTGCAATTACAACGCAGGAAATTTTGCAATTGGCTGCTGCGTTTTCTGTATTTTTTGCAAATTTTTCTACAAACTGGCTGCTACGTTTTCTGCACTTGCTACTGCATTTTTCTGCAAGTTGCTGCTGTTTTACTGTTCACGCAGCAACATTCTGCATTTTCCTGCACTGTTTTTGATCAGAAAACTCTGTATTTTCTCCAGAAAAATTCTACGTTTTGCAGCATTTTTCCTTGCTATTTTTCTGCATTGTTTTCCCCCAAATTTCTTGCCATTTACTGCAAATTTCTGCTCCTTGCCAAATTCTAGAAATTTCAGTTACTGTTCACGGGTACTGTTTACGGGCACCGTTCACGCGTTGAATTTTAATTAATAGGAGTAGAAAATCTCATGGAATACGTTAGTTATGGCATTGGATTAATTTTGGTCCAGTAGTGAGGTATTATTGATTGGGGTTTGTTTGGTTGTTGAGAACATGATGGGAAAATGAAAAGGGAAATGGTTATTAATTCTGGATATTTTGATTCGGTTCCTGATTGTTCTGTCAGTTTAGTATTGAGATCGAGTCTTCGGCTTTATGCGAGTGAGGTAAGTAAATTATGGTAAAACCCTTTGATTTTAAAGCATGTTTTAAATTGTTTTTGAGATGATGGCAAGGTTTAAATTGATTTTATTAGCATCTGAGTGTGATTAAATTGAAATGAAAATTGTGATGATTTTTATGAAAATTATTATTTTCTGGAATTGAGCATGATTGGAACGAAAATGAGAATTTTATTGTTTCTCTGGAATTGAGCGTGCCCACATGAAACTGTTTTCATTAAACTGTTTTCATTTGCATTGAGTAGAGCATGCCTATTTGGAATTGACTGAATTGTTTTGATGAACTAAGAATTTCGTAAATTCTGAGTTTTCTGTTAAATCCATACTCACATGGAAATTTTTTGGTTTATTCTGAAATTTGAGATTAATTGTGGATTACGGATTTTTCTGTAAATCTTGCATGATTTTATCTCTGATATAGTCATGATTACTGACGCCCGTCAGTGGGAGTTTGTAAACGCTGGCACATGTTGACATGTTTATTGATATGATCAGTCCACTCTGTAATCCTGCCAATGGGATAATACATTGGTAATTACCGACGCCTGCCAGTGGGAGTTTGTTAAACACTGGTACCATTACTGACGCTTGCCAATGGGAGTTTGTTAAACACTAGTACTTCTGTAACCCTGCCAATGGGGTTAAACATTGATTATTACTGACGCCTGTCAATGGGAGCTTGTTAAACACTGGTACTATTACTGACGCCTACCAGTGGGAGTTTGTTAAACACTGGCCATAACTTATAGATAAGACTATTTATGAGTTTTATTATGCATGAATGGTTTGTCATTGAAAGTTCTATTTGCTTACATGGTTTATCTGGCATGCTTAAATTTTTACCAAGGGCTGTCCATATTTACTTACTGAGTTATCTCATGGTAGTTTTTCCTTGTTCACCATTTCAGAAAACGAAACCGAGAATGAGGAAACCAAGGAGAGTGACGAGGTAAAAGGCTAGCCATTCTAACTGGATATAAGTTTTAGATTTTATTATCTTTTTGTAAGGTAGATTTTGTTCTGAAGATTTTGTGATTTGAATAAGTTTCGAACCTTGTGCACTTGTGGGACCCATCTCATGAGTGCACAGCGTCTGCCACGTTTCCGGATTTAGTTTCTAAGGCATAACAGTAATTGAAGGCTAGATATTAACCGAGCTTTTAGGTTTAAGTTATGTAAATTGGTAATTATGAACATAGTAGGTTCCGAGTCTTGTGTATTTATGGGATCCGTTCACGAGTACATGGCGTTTGTTTCGCTCTTGGTTTTGGGACGTGACATGCCCATTATATAAAAATAATACTATTGTATCAACGACCGAAATTCAGTTAGTTAATGGAAGTAAATAATTAGTGAACCTATGTAACAATATAATTAATTTGCTTCAGGATATTAAAGTTAAATTTTATTGAGTTAATATGATCGGTAACAAGTCGTTTAAGCCTTTTTATGTAGGGTTTATTTAAAGTGCACTTATTACACTTTTTAAATTAATTTATATAGAAAGTATTTTTTAATTTCTAAATTAAAAACATAATTTAATATTATTTTATTATTAATTTACATTAAAATAAAAAATAATTTTAATTTTATTAAATATTCAATTAAATTGTTTCACATGATATTAATGTTTAAAATAAAATTTAATTTTATTATCTTTATACAAATTAATAAAAAAAATATATAATAAATTATAGAAATACGGGTGCCATTAAGGGTACATTTGTATAAACTTGCCTGGTTCATTATCGTCATTAAACAAAAGATTTTATTGACATTTTTTATTCCCCTTTTTATTAACGATCTTATATTTTATGAGTGCTGCTAAACGGACCGAAGGTCCCCAGGCCAAGAGGGACCTCCGGTCGCTATAATTATTTTATTTTAAAAAAATTTATTGCAGTATGAATTTTTATTATTTATTCTTACTAGTTTTGTTTTTTTTTGTTCGTTTTTTAGTCTCAATGGACTTTTAATTGAACTATTAACCCTAAAATAATAAATGCCATACAGTAAACTCTAAATACTTGGTCTTAAAATTATAATGAACTTTAATACTCAAAATATTAAACTTTAAGAATTTAAACCATAATATCTTAAATATTAAACCTTGAAAATCTAAATCCTAATATCCTAATCCTTTTTTTTGGCCGAGTAAGATCCTATGCATTTAATTCAAAAAATCTAAACCCTAACCTCTTAAATTATCGAGAACCTTTAAAAAACTAAACTCTAGCATACTATACATCAAATTTAGGGGGAAAAAAAATCTAAACCCTAAAAAATTTTAATCCTAACACCTTAAACCTTAAGTCCTAAAGGTATAATCTAAACCCTAACACAATAAATACTAAACACTAACATTATAAACACCAAAAAATCTAAATCCTTATGCCTTAAATTAAAATAACCTTATTTGATTCTAATTTTAAGGACTTATAAATGATGCCTTCTAAAAACATGGATTTAAAAGTAATAATCCTATAAACTCAAGGGATTGGGAAATAAGAATTAGTTATGCCCTTTCTTAGAACAATGAATCAAACGGACACGAAAATGCCACGTCCGCTCGGCTTTCTGTTGACATGGAGAGTGTTCGGCCGCAATATTATTCATACTTTATGGTATATATAGATAGATATGTTAATTTTTGTCATTATACTGCGTCATTGAGTACCATTAACACATCCTTAAAAACTAATTAATTTTTTTATCAGCAAAGATTAGTTGATTTTTTAGTATAATTCTATTTTAAAAGTTTTTTTTTTCCATATCAACTTTTCAATTGACCGATAAAACAACCATTTCTTGATAAAAAATTTTAATTTGTCTCCTAACAAAAAATTTGGCTCTGTTACTGCCCCTAACTTTAGCTTAATAGAAAATTTAGAAAGAATTACAAGAATAATTTAAGTTTTCAACTAATAGAGACAAAGAATATTATTCTCCATTGCGTGCAAGGAACCTTAATGTCATAATGGGTTTAATAAAATATTATCTTTTTCTTTCCTATGCTAATGGTATTGAAAAACATCTCCTTCTTTTTTTTTGGTAAAATAGTCGAATTACATCTAATCCATAATATTGTCACCAAGCATTCTGATGGATCAAATTAGGTCAAATCAAGGTCATGTCTCATTTTCATCCAATACACATCCTCTCTTATCCTCTGAACCACAATCCGTGTCAGCAATCTTGTCATTCCCTCAATCAAGGACGGAGCCAATGGAGGACAAGGATGGCCAGCTGCCCTCCCTAAACTTTTGAAAATTTTCAAATATGATACATAATTTTTATTTTTTTATAAAATTTTGTTTTTTTGAGTTTTTAAATTTTGGAACTATTTTAAATATAAAGAAAATATTTAGGACTTAGGTAAAGGAATCATCTCTCTCTTTGTGATTAATTTTTAAGATATAATAATTTGGTCTAAAAAAAATAAAAAAAAAAATAGTCAAGATCTAATCAATTACATTAATGTAACTTATATAAATTTTTAAAAATAATTTTTTTGTACAATTTCTATTCTATAAAAGTAATGGTTGAATTTATTCTATTCATATAAATCATACATTTCAAATTTAAAGTTGTTTTTAGTATAGGTAATCATTCAAAAAAATGAACTATATTTCTATACAATTTATTAAAGGTTTTAAAATATATATCATTCAAAAATAGCTAAATATATATGATTTCATTGATAAAAAGTAAATATATCTAATTAATTTAAAGTTTTATGTGTACAATTTAAGTGGCACATACACAAAATTAGCAATGATATAGAAACTAATGTATATCATACTAATGTGAACTAATAAAAAACTCAAAATATTTTAACTTTTTACCCCCCTAACTTGAATTTTTGGCTCCATCCTCCCCCCCATGTCTATTTTCTAATGAAAAAAGAAAAAGCAATATCATCAATACCATGCACTTCATAATTTCCCATTATACCCTTATATACCACCATTTTTGGGGCTTATGAGTTATGAGCCAACCTTGTAGCTTGGCCACCATTTGAAGGTAGGGCGTAGGGGCCAAAATTTTGTCATATATTAGATACTTTAGAGAAAAAATTTATTAGTAACATCTAATGGTTTACTTAATATACCTTGGATGATATTATGTTCATTGAATCCTTTGTTTGGCTCTTAAAAGTAATATTCATATTAAAATAATTTAGTGATAATCTATTTTCTATAAAAACAAGAGATCTTGAATTTAAATTATAGACATGTAAGTGAAGAGAGTTAAAGGATAAAAGAAAATTATCTAATTTTGATGTGCAACCCAAAAATAGAAAGGAAAATAATGTTTATACTTAATTTGCATCTCAAATTCTCTATTAATT